TATATCAGCAGCAACCGAGAAATGCGAGTCCTATGGAATCAATGTGGAGTACGAATTTTCAAAACGACACCGACCACGGAGAGCACCTGCCCGTTTCAACGAAAATTTTGCCACTGCTACTGTGCCTAGCTTTAGCCAACACTATCGGAAAGAAATGTTTAAGGTATTAGATCGTCTTGTATCGGACATAAACGAAATTGATGAATATTTATCTGATATTGTGCTACCTATAATTATTTTGCTTCCAGCAAATTTACCCAATTGTTCCAAGCAAGAAGTGGAAAATTTATGCGCAGCATTTCCACAGGACTTCAAAGATCCAGACGCTATGTGTGCAGAGATTAAGTTAATATCTTCCGATATCGAGAAAAGTGGTGCCAAAAATCTGAAGGAAGCAGCGAAGTGTGTACTTGGAAAACAACAGTTTTATCCCAACCTGACGAAAGCGTATCAGCTTGCATTAACAATTCCAGTTTCTGTCGCAAGTAATGAGCGTTCATTTAGTAAACTAAAACTTGTTAAAAGCTATTTGCGATCAACGATGAAAGAAAACCGTCTTGACGACTTGATGATTTTATCTTCATCTGTAGATATATTAGACGAACTTGAGTTGGATAAAGTAGCTAACTCGTGGTCTTTATAGAAATCAAGAATGATAAAAATCTAGTTTTGCTAAAATCATTATTAATTAATTCCTAAGGTATATGATATGTGCAATAGGTACCATACTTGAAAATTACCAAATATGTATACTCAAATTACAACTTTTATCCTATAAAAATTTGTATTGTAATGTTCGACAATTGGAAAGGGAAACGCCCTTTTCGTCGGTAAAAATGGGATGCTACACCCCCCCACTAGAAATGGCCCAGGAACGCCACTGGTTGCCTCATTTTTTCAAAACCATGCATATATCAATAAAACCTACAAGGCCAATGACAAAAGCATTATGGCTAATTGTGAATATATATAGTGTTGCCTCGTTCTTTCAAAAACATGTATACATGCATCAATAAAACCTACAAGACCAACAACAAAAGCGTTATGGCTAATTGTGCATACATATTGTGTTGCCTCATTCTTTCAAAAACACGCTTCGTATATACTAAACGGCAGTAGCAAACACGTCAACGCATTACCATACAATCTTGGACAACGTCACAAATTGTGTATTTACTTTTCATATATGTATGCATGCTTATATTCATTTTGACATTTTAGGCATTTCCGGGCAGCAAACTATAAATTATAACAGTTATAACATGCACTAGCAGGTGGCTGCATGTAACACAGCCATGTAATGTCAATGACAAATACATAAGCCAGCAGGGTGCTTGTGTGCACCCACATATAACTGAATGTAGCAATTCATTGCATTATTGTATGGGCATTGCAAAATCAGTCACATGGAACGGATGTATGTTTTTAGCTCTGAAGCTCCGATATTTATAATTATCTTGTCTGTGAACCGTCCCTTGCTTTCTATATTTCAACCTAATAAATATAAGAATGCCTCCAAAGACAAAAAAAGCAAAACGAATCAAATGGTTAAAGTGTGAAAACGGTTGGAGCGATTGCTGCAGAGAATTCTGCTATGGCGACCTTTCCGTCTGGTTTGGAAGACTTGCTCGATCGGCGTCTAAATCAACAGTTTGATAAGATTAACAAACTCTTTTTGACATTTAGCAATACGACAAAAATTGATTTGCAGTCGATTAAGAAAAGCCAGGATTTCCTGGCAGGGAAATTTGATGATCTAGTTGCTTCAACTAGCAAGCTCAAAGAGAATCGGGTTCATGCTTTAGAGAGTCAAAGTATTCCAGTTGAAAATTATATTGAAAGTATGAAACGTTATCTGCAAAGAGACATGCTCCATGGAATCCCTGAAAGTTCGGATAAAAATACCATCAATATTGTATTGCAAGTTGTTGAGTTGATTGCACCGGAGTTAAACTTGGGCCAGTCAGATATATCAACCAGCCATCGTCTTCCTGCAGTATCCGGTAGAATCAAACCAATCATAGTAAAATTTGTAAGACGTGACATTCGTAATATGGTATTCAGTAAAAAAAAAATTACATGCAAGACAGCTCAAGACACTGGTTATTCACAGGATAGTAAATTGTTCATTAATGAGAGTCTTACTGCTATATCCCGTGCCATTTTTAACAAAGCAACAGAATTTAAACGTCAACATCAATTCAAATTTATATGGACAAGGCAGGGAAAATTTTTGTTGAAGAAAAACGAAAGCCAGTCTTGAAACATGTTTTCACTTCCCTGAAAGAATTTGAAGCATTTAATGAGAAGTTTGGTGTTTAAAAAGACCTCAATGAGGAGATCTAAGCTAAGTTGTGTGTGGGAGTGAATTTTAGATCTATAATTTATTCAATTCGCTTCATTAAACTCATTGTGTGAGTTACCATTCTATCATCTTGATGATGATAATTTTGATCTAGTCATGTACGAGATGTCCAATGGCTGTGTGAACTTCGACTTAGACAGACTTAATTGTTTAAAACTAAATCCCTTGTCTTTTGATAAGTATAAAAAATTATCCTTATTCCACTCCATAGATCCCGATTCTAATTTTTATTCCGATTATTGCGACTATTATACGGAATGTGCCTTCAACGAAACTATTCAAAACAATTTAGTTTAATTTTAACAATAAATTATTCATCTACAAATTCTAAGTTTGGGACGTAATTTTAATAGTCTGACTAACTTGCTTGTGTCAATTAATCACAAATTCTCTGTTATTGGTATTTCTAAAACTTGGTTGCAAGATTCATTGCACAATGTCGATATTGTTGGTTACAACATCGCACATGACTACCGTTCTGATAGATCAGGTGGAGTTGGCTTATATTTAAGCTTAGGCCTGATAGATCAGGTGGAGGTATTGGCTTATATTTAAGCTTAGGCCTGCAGTACATATCTCATAATGATTTATGCTTTCCTCAAACTTCAAATGTTGAAAGTTTGTTTGTTGAATTAATAACTAATTCGAGAAACAAAAACATTATTATAGGCATTGTTTATCGGCCACCAAGTCAAAATGTTAATGACTTCATTAGTAGTTTAAATTCTCTCATGGGAATAATCTCCAGGGAAAACAAACTTTGTTATTTTAATGGTGACTTTAACCTAAATCTATTAAATCACCACACTTATCAACTCACTGCTGAATTTTTGGATATTATGTTTGGTCATATGTTTTTCCCATTGATAACGCTCCCTACAAGAATAACTGCTCATACTGCAACAGTCATTGGTAACATATTTACTAATAACTCAGATGATTATTCGTTAAATGGCCTGTTGCTATCAGATATTTCTGATCATTTACCTATATTCTGCCTTAGCAAAAACCAAGTAACAGATTTGGATCATGACAAATACTTAGTATTCTGGGATAAAAATTCAAATAATGTGGCCAAATTTTGCCATTGTCTAAACAACGTTAATTGGTATAACATATGGATTTTATGATCCATTACTAGAGTATGATTTTTTTAAATAAATATTGTGAAACCTATAATAATTGTTTCCCATTGAAAAGAGTAAGAAAAAGAAAATATGCTTTAACAAAACCATGGTTATCCAAGGGTCTCCTTAAATCAATAAGACGGAAGAATAGATAGTATAAACGATACTTAAATTCCCCTAGTTCTGGAAATGAATTGTCGTAATTTGAATCATTCTTTAAGATTAGCTAAACGGATTTATTATGATAAACAATTTGATTATTTCAAAAGTAATATTAAAAGATCTTGGAAATTAATAAATGAAGTTGTTAATAAGAATAAAGGTTCTAGAAAACTTCCAACAATTTTTAATTTAAATGATACAGACATATCAGATCCAGTCGAAATTGCTAATCATTTTTGTGATTATTTCAATAATATTGGTTATAACTTATCCAAGAAAATTCCCGATGCTAATATTTCACATCGAACTCATTTATCTGGTACTTATTCCAGTTCAATATCACTAAATTTAACTGGAAGTATTGGATATAATTAATTCACTGCGATCTGGGACTGCTGCTGGTTATGATAATATTCCGATATCTTCCTTTAAGGATTCTGCTGACTTAATATCAGGACCGCTTGCTCATATAATTAATTTATCTATTTCTTCGGGTTATTTTCCTGATAATATGAAAATCACTCGTGTTATTCCCCTATTTAAATGATCGTAAGATTTTCCAAAACTATAGACCCATATCGATCTTACCAATATTTTCAAAAATACTTGAAAGAGTTGTTTACAAGTGGGTTATGGAATACATAAACATACTGGATATTCTTTTTCACAACCAATATGGCTTTAGAAAAAATCATTCAACTTCTCTTGCTTTAACATACTTATGTGATAAAATAACTTTAAAAACTTATTAATAATTCAGGAGGAAAACACAAAGAAAAATCATAAGCGTGTTGTGGTTTTATATGTGATAAAAAATCATGTTAATTTACATAAACTTTAGCTTTGATTTTCTCGGTTTTAATAGACAAAGTTTATTTTAAAAATTACTTCGCCAATGAACTTGTATAAGATGAGCCGTTTTTAAGCCATTTAAAGCACTTGTAGTCATGTTTTATCAGATATAAAACGCTCAGCTGCGCCTCGTGTTTTATACCTGAAAAAACACTCCTACGCGTGCTTTAAATAGTACATCAGCAATAGATAGAAAGCAGTTTACAGTTGGAATATTTCTTGATCTTTCTAAAGCTTTTGGCATGGTAAATCATAGTATATTGTTTGATAAACTTTATCACTATGGTATCAGGGGAGTAGCTTTCAATTGGATGAAGAGTTCAAAGTCGATTATCCAGTGTGGAGTGCCTCAAGGTTCTAGAAATTCTTGGGCCACTCTTATTTCTTCTGTATATTAATGACTTAAGTAATGTCTCCAATAACCTTGAATTGATTTTGTTTTCCGATGATACCAGTATATTTTTTTCTCACCAGAAATTTCCATCTCTTGTAAATACTGTTAATTGTGAAATTGACAAAATATCCGAATGGTTTAAAGCGAACAAGTTGTCGTTAAATTTAAAGAAATCTAACTATGTGATATTTAAATCTAGACAAAAAAGAATTGATATTCATTTATCTTTGAAAATAAATGATCACCAAATCACTAGGGCAAAAGAGGTTGTTTTCCTTGGAGTTATTCTAGATGAACATATTTCCTGGAAACCTCATATTTCTTACGTTGCCAGGAAAATATCAAAATCTGTAGGTATTATATACAAAGCGAGTTTTTTCCTGTCCAAATCTACTTTATGTAAGTTATATTTTTCTCTAGTTTACCCTTACTTACAGTATTGTATAACTGTATGGGGTTCTATGTACCATGTTTTTTGTGTTTTGTAAAACATATGGGATTATTAGTCTAGGGCATCTAATTAGGTTTACCCTTTAGGCATAACTGAAGGTTCTGCCCGATTCTATAAGCCGCAATTTTGGTAGATTGTACAACATCTACCTATTCTACTTATCAATAGTTAGATACATCACACAAACCATAGGCTTCATTACATATTTCACGGCATGGTTTGCTTTCAAGACCCTGTGAGTATGTACATAATCTAACTGCATGTATATACTTTAATACTAAGGAATAGACCTACAATCCTCACACAGACTTAACTACATGTGATGGACAGATTACGGAAACATACACAGTATGAAGTGGGAATTACGTTTACAATTTCTCAATGCATGGTCTACTTTCCAGACCCTGATAAGATAAATTCAGGAAAACCATTTATTCAAATGAGATACAGGAAAATTACACAACACAAAATCACAAGTCTTGTTACCAATTCTAAATTTGTAATATTGCAGTATGGTCAAATCTGACCCTGTGATAAATTCATGTGCATCATCAAATTATACCTATCAATTACCAAGTAATAACTTTACATACAGTACATGCTAACTTCAATTACGATATTTCTACAATGGATTTACATAAAAAGACACAAAACTACGCACGCATAATACGCCGAGGTATACAAAAATATACGAGGTATACAAAAAGCATATACGAAAAACGTCTATACGTGGCGTATAGTAAATATGGTACAATTGCGCCTAGAAGCCTTTAGGCATCTATACAGCCCTATAAGCTTGTATTGCTCTTGACGACGTGAATTACAAAATATAATGTATTGCAGTCTTTCCTGGCAGTTATGACGGTTTGAAAACGATGCAACTAAATTACATATTGTATTGCTAATATTGTCGCATAATAATATATTGTATTGCTGTCTTTGCTGACAGTTGTTAATGCTTTAAAGTAAATTAGAAAATGATGTGATTATACTCGTGTGCGATAGTAAAATATATTCGTCATTTTGTTTTGTTTAGTTTTTAGTCGTCACATATATAACTGAGCACATTGGCGGCGCTGCACTGCAACACACTCTGCAGACTATTATTACAGTCCATGCATGCATGTAAACTCTCAGTTACGTGCTTATTGTATATTGAAATACATTTTGTAATTGGGAGTTAAATTCATTTGAAAACTCTGCAAAGATTACGCACATGTGTGCGAAAGAACGCTGCTGTTTTCTATTTGTCATTGTAGTTTACCAGCCGAATTTGAAGGAGAAATCAAATTTATTTTGCCAAATAAATATAACATAATAATTACAATTAACATACACACAAACAAACAAAAAAATATTTATATAAGAATATAAAGAAATAAAGGCAAGGTAGCCCAAAATGAAACCAAGAGGCTTATTTATATTGGGCTCCTTTTACACGCAATTAAAACTGATAGATCAGTGGTCAATCACACAGAATTAAATACAAGATAGAAATACAAGAAAAAAGAAGGAAAGTAACCAATCATAAAAAATAAAAACAATCACAAATGTCAATATCACAATGTAAATAGAAAACTATTTAATTTAGAAAAGAATGACGTAATACTAGGTGCACTTCGTATGTCATTACTTAATGAATTAAAAAACTTAGGAGCTTGATAAGAAACAGAAAATTTTCTAATATTAGTTCTACAGAACGATAACTGATACAGATTAGTCGACAGCGTGAAATAATTATGAACTTGGTTTATAGGTAGAAAGAAATTGTCAAAACTTCTAGGGAGTAAGCCATTGTGATATTGATACGTGAATTTTCCAAGATGATACAAATAAATCCAATCGAACTTAAGAATTTTTAACTTAATAAAAAGCAGATCAGTATGTGCATGAAATGGTTGTTTATCGAGTATCCTAATAATGCGCTTTTGAAGTAGAGTAATACGATTAAGATTAGTGGGGTGCCCAGGGTCTGGCAAAAAGTTTTTTTGACTGCACAGTATACTATATGGATTAATACTTTTAAAAAATATATAGTAAGGATTGATTGTCCGAAGCAGTCCGAGCCAGTTTCGCGTATGAACGTGGTATGATATTGGGTCAATATCATTTGAAATGACTGTAAAGAAAGGCGAACATGGGTCGAACGGCATGTAAAATGGCTTTGGACAAACCATCCCATTGGTTCAACAAAAAATAAAATATAACATCAGGGGGATAGATGGATGGTATTGGAGAGATGATGTGATTTTTAATGAAACATTGAATAATGACGTGACAGTGTATTGGGGCTATAGCAAACCTCACAGTCTTGGGTTGACCGTGCTTGTGAAGTATGTTAGCGGATAGTATATATCATATGGAAGATACAGTATATATAGTTGTGTTAATTGTGCTTTTTCATTTGTTTGGCCCTCGACGCGTTTCGGTCTCATGACCTTCATCAGGAGGGGCTTTTAGGGATGGGAGTTGATGTTTTGTTGGTTGTTGACGAGAGGAATGGTAATGAAGGTGGTGTTGTTCAAAATGATTTGGGATATGGCATAAGTGGAGTGGTGGAGAAGTAGTGAATAGTCAACATAATAGGAAATGATAAAACAATGAAAAGATTTATGAAAAGCAATAGAATAACGAAAAAAGAGGGAAAAAGTAATAGTAATCATAATAATGAAACAACTTTAATCTAACAAACTTACTGAATGATTTGTTCGGTGGTAATTAATCCACATCTGCCAGCTATATTTTTGTTCCAAATGTGACTAGGGTAGCACTTCTTTTGTGTGTTTGTTTTTTGCTTGTGCAAGAATGAGTGTTTGGGCCCTGAAGGCCGGTTTTTAGTCAGTTTTTCTGCGTACTAGATGACGTCATGCGGTTTGATAGCGTGCATGTTTTGTGGGGTGTTAATTATGTGTCAGTTTGTATGTATAATTAGAGCGTGATGTGCTGTAGTCTATCTGATAACTAACGAATGTTTAAAATTTTCCCATTAGTCAGAAGTGTGATTACAATGTTGAGTTGTATGTTGAGTTATGTAATATGCGTGGGCACGATTGCCTGTCCGCCCCCAAGGCTTACTAGTGAAAAAGGGGAACATTTCCAAATTCATTGTGGATAGGCACATGCATCGGGAGGGGAGGAAATAAAAAGAAGAAAATAAATAACTAAATAAACAAATAAATAAAAATAAAACCAAATATATATATATATATATATATATATATATATATATATATATATATATATATATATATATATATATACCGGGTGTCCCCCAAAAAAGTACTCCTGTTTGATTTATAATGACTTCTAAACAAGTAAAGCTATCAAACAGAAATAACTGGCATTACATATAGGAAGGACTAACTTAGATTTTGATATATTACAGTTGTATTTTACTTAAAAATTCACCGAGATATTAATGTTCAAAATCGGGAGCATATTTTGGGATGCGTCTAAAATTAGCGAAAATCGGCATATCAAATATAACTCCAGCGTTTGTTTGTTTAATGACATATCAGGCTAACTTGTATTTCAACGAATTGTCGTTAAGGTTTGTATAAGGGATATGATGGCGTAGATTTAGACATCTTAACATGCATGTAAGTCTTGGCTCATGTCATTCTTTCCTGAAATATGAATGTTCGAAATTATGCAAGTATTTAATAGGTCTTTACAAACTTAAAGGTACATGAAAGACCACTAAGGCAGGCGCTTAAATTTTTCTTAAATTAAATAGCCTAATTTTTTTATGTTTTTCATGGGTTAAAAACAGAGTTGATTATTTCTCGGTACGTTAGAGCAGGATGAATAATATTCTTATTATGAAGGAAATAATATCGCTTTTTGCAAATACACATCACAGTATCGACGCTACTATTTTGTTACGTTTTGTTCCAAAAATGTTGGATGTCTCCGGGGAGTTGCTTGTTATGACTTGTGGAGTTGTATGGTTTGATTGTGTTTCATTCTCAGTTTATTCTGAACTTAACAAGATAAACAAGATTAAGAAAATGCAAAAGAGTTTGAGTTTTCTTAACAAGATTTCAGAACTTTGAAGAAGTTAGAAGAGCTTCACAATTCTATTGTTACAGCATGCCTAATTCAGAACTACGAACGCGGATATTCATGACGATCCTTCGCGATGCAGTGGTCTCATGAAATAAGGAAACGTATTCGTGCTAGGAACACATGCACACGGATTTCGGACAAATAAATCTTCAATGCTTGTATTTTGTATATAATAATACTTTGTTTCATAATAAACAGTTTATCAAATTTCATTTATTTACTGGTAATAGTGCATGTTTCAGTCGGGCAAATGTTGATTAATATTTGATACGCCGTTTTTTGCATATTTCAGACACATCCAGGAATATGCTCCCGATTTTAAACATTAATATCTCCGTGAATTTTTAAGTGAAATACAACTCTAATATATCAAAATCTAAGTTAGTCCTTCCTCTATTTGATGCAAGTTATTTCTCTTTAAAAGCTGTAATTGTTTAGAAGTTATTATGAATCAAACCGGAGTACTTTTTTTTGGGACACCCGGTATAAAGTAATTTCGAAACAAAGAACGGAGAATTAATAAATGCCCAGGGCGTTTATTGGATCATTTACGGTATTTAATTTATTTAGTGCTCGTGCTATTTTCAAGCTAGGGGAAACTGTCAATGAAAGGTCGGAGTAAAGTGCCCCTTTTGATCTTTTCGTCATGTAGAGCATGTGGAGAGATCAAACCAGGGTTAACATACCTTCTCATTAGATACCCTTTCCCATAATCCATCAGTGGCCATAATGAGGATATCATTTTCATCTATTGATTCTTGCGACAAATCATATATTGTTACCTTAAAATGACAATATTAACCATTACAAGGAACAAGTATATTCATTTGCTATTTAGTACCTCCTGTATCTCTGATGGCGATGTAGGTTTGCCCAAATTAGGTTACTCCAGAACACTTGTTCTCACAATCGTTGGATGAACAGAATCAATGGATCATTCAGAACCAAAGCATTGACTTTACCTCGGGTTCCGCAGTCAAGAAAGGTTTGACTGAAATTCCAGTGTATGAAGCTTTTAAATCAAAATCTCCAAAACCTCTTGTTGTTCCAATTGTTTCGAGCAAGCGAGCCTGGAAAATACAACACTAAAGCTTGTCAATACAGCATTAGATTTTATACCAAGTAAAAACATAAACCGCCGTGTTCATGATTGTATTGATTCCTTACAAACAAGGGAATTAATTTAACACTAATATACCTGCGTTGTTCTGCAACACCCACATGCAACCCACTTTCACACAACCAACATACAAGCAACCTGCTTTCATTCAAACAAGTATCTAAATGCTAATTACCGCTTTTCCACTTCCAGATATCATTTGCGTTCTAAAAACATCCTCCTCTGTTATAAGTTTCAACGCCCTATTAAAACAGATCAAACAAATCCTGGTATAACCATATATTACCAAAACCGCGGATCCTTCCTCTCGCTCGAAAATAACGTGCGATATGTTCGCGCCGAAATATTCAGGAGTGGGTCACTTGGTCTACATTCCTAACGTCGTGAAATGTTTTCAATAATATTGTTCCGCCTTGTACCCAGGCGCTTTGGTTCAAATTAATCCACGCGGCCTACGCAAAGGCCACGCAAGCCATACAAGAACAACACGTAGCGCCTGGGTACGAGGCAGCTACCATGCAGTGATACTGTAGTGTAGGTGTAGGAAATGATGTCCCGCAGCCTGAAAGGATTCTTGTATTTTGGGTGTTTAATTACCTAAATTTCAGGCTGGTGGTTCTTAACCCACTGGCTCTTTTATGCGGGGTTTTTACTGTATCTAATCTCACATTTTAATAGATTATACCTACCATCCAGTCATATTTCTATCTCTACAAAATAGTTTCTTTCCAACATGTTTCCGACGAGGTTTTTGTTGAAACTCTAAACGAGTGAACTCCTTGCCCAATAGAGCTGGCTTCATCGCAGCCTAAACAAACACATACAATCATCGTCATGTCGACCATCCTGTCACAATGAAATGATCCACTCAACAGCCTCTCTGTAACTGTAAGTTTAATTGTACATTATGTCTGGTTAACTGAACTGCAATTTTTATCGATCTGAAAATGCAAGGTAAATTGGGAGAAGAGTGCAAGGAATTCTTACAATAAAACGCAAAAAAGACAAGTGTGAGTGAAAACGACGAACTGCGCATGCTTCATTTTATAGGCGGCTTCTCATGAGTATCTGACTGGAAATTTTTGCAGACTCAATTTGAAATCATCTCAAAATCTAAAGCATTTAAGGTGTGAAGGTGTATGCAGTATTATTTCTGGCAGATCTCATGCCGAGCAAAACGCCTGGAACTATAGAAACAGGATAGTTTATGACAAACGCTGAAACAAGATGAACTATATCATGCAAGGTATTGAGTACTTTTAATTCGTGATATTAATTTGCCATGACAAATCTTGAAACATACAGTATTGAGTACTTTTAATCCAAAAATTGATTTTAATTTCAATTGACAACTAGAGTCTTTTCGGAGTTACCAGCATTCAGAGTTACCAGCGAGTACTTTCCAAAAAAAATTCTTTGGTTCTTACCAAGACCTGAAGTCGGCAGCGGTCAGTCTCTGGAGTGTGATCTTTCGACATAGGAATTGGTTTTCCATCTTTGCAAATTATTGCTCTATATTGTGAAAATATCAGGGTAAAGAACAATAAATATCAAGGTGAAGACATGCATTTTTAACAAGATGTGGTAGAACTAGGCGATGAGACGCAAAAATAAAGCGCTATACCTGGAATCACCAGCATTGGCAACAAATAATTTATTTTTTAAAAACAACGAAACAACTGCAGTACATCCACCAGTGATTTTATGCACCTGTCTGTCCCTATTAATACGATTATCCTATAAAATGAAAAATGACCTATTTATTGAATGACGTCACAGATATGGTAGAAGTCTTAAAATGTCAGTGGAAGGTGCTATACGTATTACACACATAAAACGTTGGATAAGACAGTTTTGCTTGTAAAATATAATGAATTTTCATCATTGCTACGCGTTGATAAGGAAAAATGCAACTGACCAATCATATACCATTTTGCCGACGCTTCTGTGTTGTGATTGGCTGAAACGATCGCTACTTAACGATTAAAATTTATTACTGTATATTTAATTGCAAAAATAATGACTATGTTTTACAAGATTTTGCAGGCCCTGGAGAATTTGTGTGTGACCTTCCCATGGTGTAGTAGGGCCTATGGAGGAGGCGGGACTGTATATTACGTTTAATATGTTTAATCGCAACTTTTCCCCTCACTGATATGTGAGTAGCCTACTCTATAACGGTAAGAAAAACCTATAATACTATAATATATAAACCTAAAATTAAAATTGTTCTTTAGTTACCATATTTTTGAATAGGTAGCTATGTATTTAAAAACTTTTCATAACGTGCAATATTGGACAATATAACTTATACTTTGGGTCTTGGAAACAAAAACAATCGAATATTACCATTTCTAAAAATGATTGTTCCAATGCTCCAATAACAACAGCTTCGAAGCTTATAGTTGGCGCAACAGCTCCATGTAATACTGGCAACTTTCCGTAATTTTTTTCATCACAAACAATCACGTCTTGGATTTCATGAAGTTTTTCATGAATTATATCCTGAAGTTGATTGACAGTTGCCAAAGAAGAGCCCGCTCCAGCATGACCATCAAATATACCAAAACACCAGTATGGAAGTTTTGTCTGAAAATGCATTATGTATAAATACTGCTCAAGTAGGTCATGATTTACACTGGAAATAATCCGGATTTGTGTATCGATTTTACCATGCAAGTTTCATCTGAGTGGTTTTTTTTTTGCTGTGGTGAACCATTCAGTAAGTGATAAGGCTGCCCAGTTTCCACTCAGGAAAATTATCCGTGGATTGGAACGGATATATATATATATATATATATATATATATATATATATATATATATATATATATATATATATATATATATATATATATAAAATTAGGTTTCGTTATTTACAAAAACATTTGGCTGAGTGCTCAATGGATATCCAGAGCATAATTAAATAAGTGCAACGACTCAACAAATTCCAATTACTATTATTACAATTATTACTATTAGTTTCGTACCACAAGATGTGGCACTCATCAGATAAATTATGACTACAGCAAAAAACCTACAGTATTTATGTACAAGTAGATGAAAGCTTTAAATTAATCCTATTTACAAAGTACGCAAAGCAATTATTTTGTTAGCCTACTTGATACATTGACAGGACGCGGAAGTATATTAACAACGCATACATGTAGCATATAACACCAAGCTACAACAATGTGTCTTAAATGTTAGTTAAAAGAAATTTTTTCGCATGTCTGAATTAAAGGATTAGTGTCACAACAGGAATTCGCGGGCTCAAACTCCTGCTGGTGGCCATTTTTCGGGACGAATAGATTAGATGATCTGGAAAGTTTTTACAATCCGTCATATATTTAAACCATCCTTTTATAATCCTTGCTCTTTTTGTCTGATTTTTATCAGAAATGTACCAAACAAGGTATTTTTATCGCTATTTGTTGTATTTTAGTAAAATGTAAACAATAACAAAAGCCCACAATGCATGACCCTGACACTAATCCTTTAAGAAACTAATTCATTACGTTAACTTTGTTCAAAGTAGTCAATTCAGGTTTACATATAATAAAGTATTTTTCCCATGCACAGACAGAGATAACATCTATTCGAAGCAGGGCTGTAGGGTTTGGCAGTTTCAAAGTTTGCCATTTAATAGTAGCCTATATATTCAGTAGTTTCTCTGCCCTTTAACTGCCAGACATATTTACTGAGTTCTGTAGAGTTCCTTTTCTCGCACAAATTAAATGACGTTTTGTGGTTGTATTATCTAGTTTTAAACGAGTTTTCAGTAAGACCAACGAATGTTTGAGGTGGACTGTTGTCGTTGGTAGAAACTGTAGCTTGATACACAATGGACTCGACCAAACATTTTTTGACATTGGGCATGCAGCCAATCTTCTTTCTTTCTACAGTTGCATGTGCTTTCGGTTTGGGACAGTTTGATCTTCTTGTGTCCGTCGCTGGTTTTGAGCACTCTGCCAAACGTTTTTGTAAACAACGAAACCTATAATTATATATTTGCTCCTATTTTGTCGAGCACTTTTTATAATATAATTTTGAGATGGAAGCGAAACAGTTTGGATATTCAACCAAGAATATTCCAATATACAGTACCATCGGAAAATGACTACAAGAAAGTACTTATTGGAAAAACCGAACATTTATCTAAACGTATGAGATGGAAAGCACACTTTTTTCTTAATCCAGAAACCATGCAAACACGACAAGAAACGTACGGACTTAATTCAAAGAAATCACCGTCACGTATACCTGAACTAGCGAGTTTTGAGAACAGAATGCATGATATGATCCAAAATGTGAAATTTAAAGATGTAAAATGCGGATTCCAGAAAAAAATCATCTGATGACAAAAATCAGAAAAAACGAATCACTATTTGTGCCTGCTGATAAAACCACCAACTTTTACAAGATGGATCCACCATCCTACAACCATGCAACTACTGCAGAAAAACATTACTATAAAACCTACAAAGAAATCCCCACACATGCAAACAGTTTTGTCTATTGAAAACCAATCGAAATCCATTGCGAACAAATTAAATTAAACAGAAAGAATTAATACCACACCTGAGAGAGAAGCCTTTATCATATTAAAGGACCACAAACCTATATAATTTTGAAAATAACCGTACCTGCCGTCTTATCAACCCTCGTATAAGTCCGAAATCGGTAAAGTAAGTATAAACAAATTCTATAGACAGAATCAACGCGATGTATACGGTGGTAGCGGTGGTCGTAATATATCGAGGCATTATTCCATTATACATGGTATACATACGCAGTATACACGGTGTATCGTGGTGGTCGCAATATATTGAGGCATTATATACAGTACAGTATGCATGCATGGTATATATACGCAGTATACACGGCGTATACGTTGGTGGCGGTAATATATTGAGGCATTATACCGGGTGTCCCAAAAAAAAGTACTCCGGTTTGATTTATAATAACTTCTAAACAAGTAAAGCTATCAAACAGAAATAACTTGCATTAAATACAGGAAGGACTAACTTAGATTTTGACATATTACAGTTGTATTTTACTTAAAAATTCACGGAGATATTAATGTTCAAAATCGGGAGCATATTTTGGGATATATCTAAAATTAGCGAAAATCGGCATATCAAATATTAACTTCAGCGTTTGTTTGCTTGATGACATATCAGGTTAATTAACTTGTATTTCAGCGAATTGTCGTTAGGGTTTGTAAGGGATATGGCGTAGATTTAGACTTCTTACATGTAAGCTAAGTCTTAGCTCATTGTTTCCTGAAATATGAACGTACGAAATTATGCGAGTATATTTAATAGGTCTTTATACAAACTTTACAAATTTATAAGGTACATGAAAGACCATGCAAGGCAGGCGCTTAAATTTTTCTTAGCCTAACTTTTTATGTTTTTCATGGGTTCAAAACAGGGTTGATTATTTCTCGGTTAGAGCAGGATGAATATTATTCTGCAATGAAGGAAATAATATTGCTTTTTGCAAATACACATCACAGTATTAACGCTACTATTTTGTTACGTTTTGTTCCAAAAATGTTGGATGTCTCCAGGGAGTTGCATGCTTAATTGTTATGTCTTATGGAGTTGTATGGTTTGATTGTGTTTCATTCTCAGTTTATTGTGAACTTAAAAAGATTAAGAAAAGGCAAATGAGTCTGAGTGTTCTTAACAAGAATTCAGAACATTGCAGAAGTTAGAAGAGCTTCACAATTCCATTGTGACAGCATGCCCTAATTCAGAACTGCGAACGATCCATGACGATCCTTTGCGATGCAGTGGTCTCATGAAATAAGGAAACGTATTCGTGCTAGGAACATGCACACACAGATTTAGGACGAATAAATCTTGCTTGTATTTTGTATATAATAATACAGACTTTGTTTCATAATAAACAATTTGTCAAGTGCCATTTATTTACTGGTAATCGTGCATGTTTCATTCGGGCAAATCTTGATTAGTATTTGATACGCCGTTTTTTGCATATTTCAGACACATCCAGAAATATGCTCCCGATTTTAAACATTAATATCTCCGTGAATTTTTAAGTGAAATACAACTGTAATATATCAAAATCTAAGTTAGTCCTTCCTCTATTTGATGCAAGTTATTTCTCTTTAAAAGGTTTACTTGTTTAGAAGTTATTACGAATCAAACCGGAGTACTTTTTTTTGGGACACCCGGTACATGGTATACATACGCAGTATACACGCGGTGTATATACGGTGGTGGCGATGGACGTGGTGGCCGTAATATATTGAGGCTGCATTATACATGGTATACATATTACGCAGTCATGGCGGTGGTTAAATAATACATTTCTAACTGACCTTGCGAACAGTGGGTTTTATATAACAGAAGGTGAAATGCGGGTGGAAATTAGTAAATTTGCACACAATGTTTTTCTCATAAAATACAGATACAGTAGAGTATTTACCACCGTGTAATACATACAATTGTGTCTTCTTTAAGTTCTTTGTCAATATTTATCACATGCAAACAAAACATTTCAGCAAATGCTTGGTCTTCATTTACCAAATAGCTCTTGCCTGCATTAATTGTTCTAAAATAATAAACAAGTACCTGGTAAACAGCACGAAATATAAATGTATATTTAATTTTGTAATTCTGACTAATTTGTGAGAAAAACACATGAAGGGAATAGTTTGCCTGGTTAACGGAGTTATAACCAACTCACTCAGCCGAGTTCAAAATTTCGCGTTTTCCCCTATACGTAATTGCTTTTGTGCCAAGTTGTCCCAGCAAAGCAAGTTGAAAAATCACACATCATGTATGGTTTCAAACTAAATAATTTAGGTTTCAAACTAAATAATTTAGGTTAAAAAACTCAAACCAGCATCAAAATGTTGTTTTTGTGTTTCAATTAATAAATGCTTTAACGTTTTGGACAACACATGCGTGAAAACATGCAAAAAACGTGTTGGGGACAATAATAAATATAATTTACGGTAATTACTAATTACCAACTCTGTCTTATTATATTACGAGAGAAGCTCAAAATACATAAAAACTATCTTTAGCCCATCGAGTATAAATATAGGATCGTATTGCGCCCTGATTCGCCCTACTTTATTATTTTACTCTGTCTAAAGGCGGTTTTCCAGTCCTCGCACGAAGCTCCTCGCAGCTCGCTGAGAGTGCTTACATCTAATTAAAATTAACCGTTTTGCATTGTGATTGGATGAAAGTGCTCATGCATGCACACGCAGCGAGGAGCTTCGTGCGAGGATTGGAAAACCGCTTTAACACCAAACGATTTTACTCGTGAAGGGAAGGGCAGGTGCTTAATGGGTTAATAAAAAACAAGCAACTACTATTCTACTGTTGGGTATTTTCAATCTTAACCTGAGTATCAGGCCGTACTTTTTAGGGCACAGGCACGCCTGATCGCGGGCGAAGGGGAGAAAAGTACGGCCTGACACAAAAGCGGCATTTTGCCTGGTTATTCAGTCCAGAATCTGGACTGAGCGCTGATTGGCCGATTAGACAAACGATTTTATAAATCTGTCATTTAATTGGCTGGTGCTAATTAGATTATACTATTGTTGTTGATATATTTTATAACGATCACAACTACAATTATAGCCGGCCCACTAAACGGCTGAATTTAAATTAAAAATGCAGTAAAATTAGAAAATAATCATGTAAAGCTCATTGTAGTCACTGAAACCTCTGCGGAGGAGAGAGCAATCGGATGGCGATTTAATATAAGCTACATTTGCAATATATTTCGCTAATTTGTGATTATTTTTGTTAATTTTATAAGTTCATTGCAGTTTTAATTTAAATTCAGCCGTTTAGTGGGCTTCCTATGCTATAATTAGATTGTTGTTGTCGTTGTGTGAAATTTAAATTTCTCCTGCGACATTTTGATTGGATACTAAATATAAACTTTGCTGTGGGCGGAAAGCGATCAGGTTAACTTTTGTGTCAGGCTCTATTTGTAAAATAGAGCCTGATACTCAGGTTATTTCAATCTTAGCTTAGTTCAGCCCTGTTAGCCGGATTAGCCCAGTACAAGTACAAGTACAAGTACAAGTACAAGTACAAGTACAGTAATCGTAATTTTAGGGGCTGATTACATGGAGAGAGTTGACTCGGATTAACAGAGTTGACCTGGCTAAACAACATTTTGATGCTGATTTGAGCTTTTAATTAATTAATCTAAATTTGTTCAAAAGTGTGGCTATATATTCAACCAGCTTTGCCAGCTGACAACTCAGCAAAAAATGCAATTACATAGGGAAAATGCGATATTTTCAACACTTGGCTAAGTAATTAAGTCAGTTCAATGGCAAGCAACAGCTGCAATCTCTTTTAAAGCAAGAGGTAATATATATACAAAGTAGGCTACTACGGACCAACTTGATTAACCAGGTCAATGCACGCCCCCAATGCACGCCTTGCACGGATGCGCGCCCTTCTTTTATTTTGTACCCTGTCCATAATGCCAAACAACTTTACTTGACAATTAGGGGTGGCACTCAATGGTACAGAGCTACTGTATGTCCATATATTCATGTTGCAATTCAATTTTACCACCATGATGGCAAAATGAATATGTTTAAAAAATCACGCTAAGCACTGTATATGGTAAGGATGTGCCAATAAGGAAAATCGCCGATTACTGAGGCCGATTATTTATAAGCCGATTATCATAACTAATCAGCTGATTAATCGGTACCTGCTGATTATTTTGAAAAGCAAGAGAAAAATCGCAAGATGACCAGCAATGAAGTTGTAAATGCGGTTTTATTCTTTACAATACATACTACGGACAATTAAAATCAGCTTCAATCTTGCATGTCAATAGTCAAAGTTTAGTTTTGGCAGAATTTGGTGTAAGAACAGGATATTGTCAGCTTTATGCGGAGCTAGTCTGCTTTTCAATGGAAATGTTCCCAGCTTCACTGAACATGCGCTCTGAATATATGCTTCACGCTTGAATTACTTAGTGCATGGGCTAAGATACTTCAGCTCAATGTTGAAAATATTCGGGTTACATATTTTTTTGTTGGAAACCCACCAGGTATATGGACACGCTTGTAAGGGTTGCAAGGGAAGAATGAGAAATGCGTTGACGACTTGACGTCTTCTTTAAGATTTGGAACGTCGTCTTCAGATGCAACTATCTCTTCGAAACAAGATCATAGATCTTGACATGGGTTTTGAGACAAAAGACACGGGTTTTGCCACAAAATGTGAAAATCTAAATTCGCTTGTATTCAGTATTTTAGCATGTGATTGGCAGAGTCTTATGGACAATTATTTGCCGATTACCGATTATTAAAAAAATGGCCGATTATTTATCGATTAATCGGCTCATCCCTAGTATAAAGTATGTGGCAGCCGTGATACTTGCACTTTGGTAGGTGGATGAATAAAAACCTCCATTTGACAATTGCTTAAACAGGCCAACTCGATTAACCAAGTCAACTTGCTCCATGTGCTCAATTGGCCACTTAGTGCACAACAAGGGAGGGTATTAGCGAAGTAGTTGTAGTTCGCTACTGTAGCGTACTACAATTTTCAAGTAGCCAGTAGTTTTTGACTACTTTTTTAAAACAGTAGCTGCTGCTGTAGTTATAGTGAACTACTTTTCAAACAGCGAATCGCTATTCGCTACTTTTTAAAATTGTTAGCAACTTGATAGAATAGCATGATATTGAGACACGGTTTGCTTAAAATCAATACTCAATAGTCAATTTGAACTCCTGCACACTGTAGTGCATACAAAAATGTTGCTTTGTGTTTACTCTTGTTTACTGACACTTGCTACTCGTAAGTCGATTTGTTATAGATTACATTACAGCCTGAGTTAGTAGACGCTCCAAATACAGTAAAACTAAAAAACATAGCATAGCGAAATAGCAAAATAGTTCGCTACATTTTTTTAAGCAGTAGCTGTAGTCAGTAGCGAACTACCTTTGTTCAAAAGTAGCAGTAATTGTAGCTGACTACATATTTTTGAAGTAGCTGTAGTTATAGCGAACTACAAAAATTCTGTAGTCAACCCACCCTTGGAGCACAGGGCACTTATATGAAATTTTAAGCGAATTCAACTTCGCACGTATGAAAAACGCGTAACTGGAATGCAACTTTAAAGGTCCATACACACTGGACGCGATTCGACAACGCGACGCGATTTTTCGATTTTCACTGACCGATAACTTTGATCCTAGTTTAAATTTTCCAAATATTTAAAAGCGCTATAACATTTTGAGTTATTTGGTCTACATATCTTTCATTGGCTGTTTTATTAACTTTCAAAAACTAAAAAATCGCGTCGCGTTGTCGAATCGCGTCCGGTGTGTGTCTGGACCTTTACGTTTCCAAGTTCAGAAATTGGGCGCGAACTTCGCAACAAAGTTCGCAAGTTCCAGGCCTTAAAAAATCGGTCGGTCACGGACATTGTCCGACCCATCCATCAAATTGTCCGACGTAGAAAGGAAACCACCGGACATTCTGTCCGACCTAAGTGAAACTGAAGTTTATTGTTTGTCCGACCTGAGTGAATTGGTGTCCGACCCAGAACCGGAAATGTGAGTGAAATGGTGACGTGAAACGGGCTTTTACAACTTCGGTAACTTAAAAGTTATCGAAGTCGTACTGCTATCATTGGCAAGCAAGTTAATTTTGGCTTGGAAATAAGTATAAATGACACAAATTATTTAATATCTTCACAACATTTAGTTCAGAATGAATACATTATGCTGATATTAATTTGCGTCATTCAGACTTATTTCCGACCCAAACTGAACTGAAGGTCATCGGACATATGTCCGACCCAAACTCAAAGTCATCGGACATTTTGTCAGGCAGCCCTGTAAAAGATATTTTAAGGCCTGAAGTTCACTTCAGTGTTTGAACTTTGTTTTTTATTAATAACTTATTCATCACTGTAAAGAGCATGCAATGCACTGTACATGTTTATTTTTTGTTATTCAATTATTCAGTTCACTTTACGAGTCTCAAGGATGATTTCGTGAAAATCAGAACATTAGCGCGGACCCTGCATGAACGGGCTCTCAGAAACAGTACATTAAGGAATAGTGGATCTTCAGATGGAATAGTAAATATAAAAATCTTCTATTCCGGCTGTATAGTACAAAAAAAATTAAATTTCGACCCCTGCTAAATAGTATTCTATCTAAATAGCAGTTAAAATATAGTGTATGGCACCTGAACTATTCAATATCCTGCTTGACAGTGCTTCTATGTAAATCCATTATTAAATACATTTACATATTATGCAAATACTGTATATTTTCAAAATCCGCCATATTTATTTACATTAGAACCCAAGCTTTCGAGGCTCATGCGAAATATTACATCACGCCTCTGATGTTACACCTGTGATTTGTATAGGTGGTTTCAAGTGCAATTTGGATATAACATGCACAAGTGAGTTTTTCAGTGTGCATGTTTATCCAAATTTCAGTGTGCATGTTTATCCAATTTCACGAGAAACCATGCTATTACTTATTAATATTTTACATAAAAATGTCCGAGACAATTGTAGTTTTAACTTACATTTATATAGTGAACCATCCACTAGCAAAGTTTTTCCGGCTTTGTTATATCACATTATACAATGTTAACAGCTTGAAAATTCCACTCAACTATGTTTTGTTAGTCTTGTTGAAGGTAAAGGCTTTTCCATTTTTAAAAAAGATAAAAGCCATATTTTCCAACCGAAGTCAACTTTTACTTTATGTAGCGCGGCGCCGTGTTTGTTTTGTTTTGAAGCAATCTGTGACCATTCCTTCTTTAAACTAAAAGTTCTGCTTTAAACTGATTGGTTGATTTTATCATTACATTGTTTTCCACCAATCAGATCAGTTTGTAACATATTTTTGCACTGTGATTACAAAAAATTGCACTGTGACAGGGTGTTAGCCAGAAGTAAAAAAAAATCCATGTTTAACTGAAATTGGGAAATTTATTTTAGCCTGAAGCCGGGCATTTCTTTGTGGGTCTGGGGCATGCGGTTGCCTCCTTTGTGTCTTTGAAATGGCATTTCCCGCATTCTGGGAGTAATTTTGAGCAAATGTAGTTATAAACATGTTTTTAACTATTTTTTGGCTGACCCAAATTGGGAAATTGCAACCTCAAGGTAATTGGGAAAACCGTATTTAACGCAGAATTTTTGACTGTAGCTAACACCCTGTGTGATTACAGAAAATTGCACTGCTGTTTGGGATTAACTGCACTGAAATCAACCAATCACAGTCGAGTAATATTTTTATGTATATTATTAGCAATAACAGGAGGGTAGGATCAAAGTGGGCATTGTCACTTGCTAACCCAATCAGCTGTAGACATCCGGGTTCTTTACCAGGTAACCTGCTCAAATCGTTCTGAGAGTGAGGAATCTTTATATGACATCATAAGCAGCCTCGATAAAATATTTTGTGTTTGTGCCATATAAGGAAGCATCGTTTCCTCTCGCTTCCGACAATGAAATAATTGGATTATCTTACCCTCCTATTATAATTGGAAATCACGGGCGTGAGCTGCGAAAGCTTGCTGTGCTTGGGTTCTAATGTAAATAAATATGGCGGATTTTGAAAATATACAGTATTTGCATAATATCATATGTAAATGTATTTATGGATTTAGAAGCAGTTTCAAGCAAGATATTGAATAGTTCAGGTGCCGTACACTATATTTCAACTGCTATATTTAGATAGAATACTATTGTTGTCAAATTGAATTGGTCCTAAAACCGTGCTTGACCCATTTAGTTGCATGCACTGCCATATAATTTGAACATACAGTAAATAACAAAATAATGTAAAATTATGCCAAGTACATTAAATTAAACATTCTAGCAAGCATAAACTTACTCCGAGTATCCAGCGTTTAATGGTAATTCTCTCTGAGCCACAAGTATTGGTCGTATTTCATGATCAGCTGATGCTTTACCCGCCTCTTTACTCAAACCAAGGAATGAAGGCCTGGTATAAGGAAACAATTCAGAGCCCACTTTTGGATAAGCTTTCGATCCTTCTGATTTTTGACCACTGGGAGACACTAGTGAAGTCATATTCAGCCATTTTCTAACTCCATTAAATGCTGAAGACATTTTTCGTCATTATTTATAAGTGCTTTCTTGCATAATACTGTTGTTTGTTGCTCTTTCGCTGTCGATGTTTATTATCGAAGGCTGTCGAAGGCCCGGAAGTAAATGTAAATTATAGCAATGAAAGCCGGAACGTGGAACACCGAAACGCCGGAATGAAAAACCCGGAACGCCGAACAGAACATAAGCAGCCCACTATAAAACGGCTGAATTTAAATTAAAACTGCAGTGAAATTATAAATTTAACGAAAATAATTACAAATTTAGCGAAATATATTGCGAAATGTACCTTATAGTTATATTATTAAGATCTCAACCAGATTGCACTGTCGGCGAACTGACCTATAGTTCTTATAAAGTATACCTTATAAGAACTAAGAAAGGTATACTTTATAAGAACTATACGTCAGTCCGCCGATAGTGCAATCGGGTAGAGATTTTAATAATATAAGCTACATTTCGCAATATATTTCGCAATATATTTCGCTGAATTTGTGATTATTTTCGTTAAATTTATAATTTCACTGCAGTTTTAATTTAAATTCAGCCGTTTAGTGGGCTGCCTAACAGGATATAGATTCATGTCTCGCTAATAGGGTTAGCGGTTAGGGTTAGGGTTAGGGTGGGGATTAGGGTTAGCATTATAAATAGCGAGACATGAATCTATAACCGCCTTGGGCTGCCTATGAACAGAAAGGCTCGGCTGCCTGCGTTGCCGGTAACTGGCCCTGGGAACGAGGATGGCTCGAAACGCTAAAAAATCTCGAAAGAAAACCAGAAACGCCACTCATGAACTCTCTTGAGTTTCATATGGTGCATGTACATTTTCCGCCAAAATCACAGTTTGAAATTTCAACAAACAATAAACCTGCTACATTATTGATTTTATTTCAACAAAAGAGTCACTAGAACTTTACAGTTTCTATTTTTAACATTTCATCCAAACAATGACAACAAAGAAATTGTGAAGGAAAAATTCTATGTAGACCTTGGTAATATCCTGCGCAAAACGCCAAAGGAGGATAAGCTGATTTGTTCGGTTCGAAGAAAACATCGGGACAATAACGCCACTCATCGATACAAAAAATGCTGCCCATCAAGCCCTTGTCACCAGAAATACTCGCAGTACAAGTTCCCGACTGAAGAGTGCCAACATCGCTTGAAACGCGAAATTCGACGTCTAAAAAATTATTGGCTGGTCAAAAAAGCTCGTGAAATTCAGGAATTCGCTAACAAACATGATGCAAAAAAGTTTTATGATGCTGTAAAGGAAGTGTACGGACAGTCAACCCGTGGTACATCCAGTGGCGGATATTCACTTTTTCGGTGGGGGTGGGCAAGCCTCCTAAATTCCCAACAAAACTTTCAAATTTCCGATTTCCCCCCATTTGCACTCGAAAAGACTGTTTTTAGGCGTCTTTTAGGTCAAAATTTCCGAACTCATTCGTCAATTTTCCGTGAAGGTGGGGGGAGGGAAGTAGGATTGCAGTAACTACCGGGTGGTTGCGCTATTGTCACACTCCAAAACCCTGGCAAAGATTTTACAGATGCGTTTAGTTGAAAACATCCTGGATGAAAATGTTTCTGAGTCTCAATGTGGTTTCCGCAGCAACAGAGCGGGAACAGCGGGCATGATTTTTGCAGTAAGGCAAGTACAAGAAAAATGCATCGAACAGAACGTGCCTTTGCATACATGCGGTGTTCATCGACTTGACTAAAGCTTTCGATACGGTATGGCGGGAAGCGTTGTGGAAGATCATATTAAAATTGAGTTGCCCCACAAAGTTTGTTAATGTCCTTAATTTAAACAACTTCACGAGGGATGCAAGCGCGACTGGGTTTCTTCCGAAGGTCAGTTCTCCGACAGTTTCCCCATAAATAATGGCGTAAAACAAGGCTGTGTTGTAGCGCCGATCCTATTTATTTTTTTAGTCCAATGACCTAGTTTCTTGCACTACACTCGGTGGAATTAATATTAGAATCGGCTGTTTTTAGGGTTTATAATCCAAGTGAGTATACATACACTTTAAGACCTGACCAGGAACGACTGCGAAAAATGCAACACAAGGTCATGCAGCACTATGAATTCACCGGTCTTAATCGTCTATCTTTTGCGATTTTTCCTGCACGCACACAATGGTGAATCGCAATGAAAAGTGAAAACCACGTTAAATGAAGCGCACAATAATGTGGATGAATGAAACTCTTTACGGCGTAACGGCTGCATTAAAACTGTTGCAGTGGTTTAGCGATTTGCCCAAATTATCCGCACTGTTTTAGTACGAATCTGAAAGTGAATGTCAAACTGCGAGAATTTTAATATGGAATAATAAAATACGGGGGGTCAGTCATTCTATCATTCTACACATAAAGCGATTTCAAACTGTTTTTCCGAGAAAAAGATACGGCTGAACATTATAAATTTTCAAATATGCTGGCATAGATTCACTATTAAGAAAAAAATGCACTTATATCAGACTAAGTGGACTTGCAGGAGAGTTCCAATGCCCACCCGGATTTTTGAGTTCACTGACGAGTTCTCTTTTGCGATTTTTCCTGCTGAAACCAGAAGTTGTTTGAAGCTATATACCAGTGCGGTTATATCATTTTATGATAGTTGTAGAAGAACGCATTTGCTAGAAAATATTTCATTGTAAACGTGTGATGCGTGACTGGAAGAATTTATTCTCTCAACTCTCATATTTCAATCTGAATGTGAATCTCAAACTGCAGGGGCGTAGGAACGGGGGGGGCAGGAGGCGGCCAGGCCCCCGCCCCAAGTTTTCAAAAGTGCCCTTTTTCCGGGAGCAAAGTGCCCTTTACCTCCGTGAAAAATGTCGTTCAGATTGCATTTTTTTCCCAAAGGCCTTTGATTTATGATTGCATTTGTTTTTGTATTTTGGTATCTCCTGAAAAATTTTGTTATTTTCGGGTAAAATTATGTTATGTCCGGAAAATTTTTTCATTTTCGGGAAAAAATATGATATCTCCGGAAAAATTTTTGATATGTCCGGAAAATTTTTTGAAATGACCTCTCCCCCTCCCCCCCCGTCGCTAGCATTTCCGGGAAAAAATTTTAGGAGCCCTTTTTCATTCGAAAAGTGCCCCTCAAAGCCTGGCCCTTCAACTTTTAGATGCTTCCTACGCCCCTGTCAAACTGCGAATCTGAAACTGTAAAGCCGACTGTTCATATTTCAACTAATTCATTAATAATCAACCTAATGTATCATATAAAATGCTGCTTTTGATGTATAACCTAAACTTAGTTACTGTAGTTTATCCTGATGATGACTGAAATATAGTCGAAACGTTGATAAATATAAAAATGTTATCGATCTTTGGAGTTACACTCGTTTTGTATTTTGTTGCTGCGGAAGCTAGCGAGCGAGCGACGCAGCAGATCTAATTTGTGTAGATGGCGATTTTTATCTCAAAACATTCTAGCGCAGTGCATTGTGGTCATGCGCGATCGGAAATGCGCAGTAAGCTATTTTCCCGTAGTGTTTCCACGCCGTGGAACCTTGCGTTCCTAGACATTAAGACATGCAAAGACTTACTAGACTTGCATTGATTCACATTACTGTTCAGCAGGAGCGTAGGAACCGGGAGGCATGGGGGGCACGTGGCCCCCCAAATTTTTTCAAAGGACTAAAAGTGCCCTTTTTTGTGAGGAAAAGTGCCCTTTTTGCGAGGAAAAGTGCTCTTTTTTGTGATGAAAAGTGCCCTTTTTGTACAAGTTAATGTCGCTGTAAATAGTAAATTAACATAAAAGGTGCCCTTTTTGTTTGGAAATTTCCAAGTTTTTAAAAAAAAATGGTCAAAAACGTGCAATTTCGGTATGTTACGACGGGAAATTGCCCCCCCCCCCCGTCGCCAACATTTCCGGGAAAAAATTTTTAGGTGCCTTTTTCAATCCCTAATGTGCCCCTAGAAGCCTGCCCCAATGTTTTGATGCTTCCTACGCCCCTGCTGTTCAGCACGATTTCGGAGCAAGATAGTTCTGCTTGGACGTATTCAATGAGACGCATGTCATGTCATGATTTACCTGACGTATGTCAATAAGACGCACATGTTTAATATCTGACACCTGTGATTGCCCTTTTATATCCCCTGGTCTTCGCTGCTTATATACATTACTTTTTCTCAGTTCCACTCATGGTAAGAATCGATTCCGTACTGGCTTAACGCCTTAAGCTCACGTACAGCTTACTAGTCGGCATTTGCTTTTAATGCACGCAGTAATCTCTACCTTAGCTTGCAGGTATCCTAGTTGCTGCGGAGCGAGCGAGCCTGAAGCGAGCGAGCGAAGCAGCAGCCTAATTTGTGCAGTAGGCAGTAAAACAGCAGATTTTTAGCGTCGCATGGAATTGTGGTCGTGCGCATTTGTATGCGCAGTATAAATCCATGTCACCTCACAACACATGCGTAATTAAAACTCACTACGTAGCCACGTAGCCACCAATATTTCTAGCGGGTCTTCAAAAGTGGACATATTTTGCATCAAGTGATGTTTCATGAATACGTGGAAGCATTGAAAGGCCTTCGCTTCGGCAGTCCGGCTTAGCACAAGTTTTCAAAACGATTCAGTGTTCTAATTTTCGTTATTTTTACATTGATTCGTGCGTTGTTCACTCAATGGACTTTGGCCACTAACAGTTCTATAGTTTTTATAGTGTAATACCAGGGACGTCGCGAAACCATCAACATTGAAGTCGTCTTGTTTTGATAACATTTCCTAGGATTTTGACCAACTGTCATACAAATGTTTCACCGAAAATGCTGTCGACGGAGGGAGGAGGTAAAAAAAATTCTGGACTAAGGGACCACTCATTATTTATGACCGGGGGTGGGCTGGCAAAATTCAATTAACAACTAAGCAAAATGTTCTGCCCCCCTACATCACAAAAAATTCAATGACCCCCTTTCTCACGAATTCTAAAAAATAGTACACATGACCAGGCATCGTATCTAGTTTACTTGTTCTTTCAACAGTATGCATATTTAATCAGAACAAACTCTGCTAGTCCTAACTTTAGACTGGCCAGAAGAATTTTAATAAAAAATTCTGACCTAAAATTTAGAATCCAGTTTCAGTGTATTTTCTACACTACAGTTTTCTACTAAAGCACACATTATGTACTTAATACTAAATTAAACCATGTATAAAATACCTAATATATACTAGTCTATACAGTGTACTCCAAACTTGCTGTGGACGTAATGTTGCTACAGTGCCGTACTGTAGGAAGCTCTTTTTATTGGGGGCTGAAAACGAGGACCAAAGGCCCGAGGAAATTTTTAAATTTAGAGTCTCTGAAATGCCATTTCCTGGACTTTGGGAAAGATTTGACAAAATTGTGATGGTCAGAAAACAGCGTTTTAGTATGTCGAAATTTGCAATTTGTTTACAAATGAGTAGTACTAAATGGGCAAAGGCGTATTTAATTAACTATACATTAAGATAAGTTACCAGAAAGTATGGATAATATATTCATTCTTGATTCTTTGCAGTTTGTCATGGATAATGTAGTACGGCCCTGTACTACAATGCTTACACGTTATCGTGAATGTCTTTTTTATTAAAATGCACATCAAGGAAACATGACAATATTTATGGCAAGTTCATGGCAAAAGTTATAAGGTAGATTGTAGGTTATAAGGTTGTTTTTCATATTAGCTGCACGCATTGCATTTCGGGTATTTGCGCATAGCATTTTCGATCTATCAGTGTTGATTAAAATTGAGAATTTTACTAGGTACATGAATTAAACTGTGCTCCCTTGCTCGCTCTCTGCTGTAGCAATAATCGCTACATGTCAAATTTTCCCCCACTATAATAAAATAACTGGACCTCCCCTTCTGAACTAATACTTTTCCGTACCCCTTCCCTTTTTCGGTCAAAAATACCTCATGACCCACCCCCTTTTTTTGTCAGCCCACCCCCGGTCATAAATAATGAATGGTCCCTAACATAAGCATAGTCAAAAATATTTTCCGGACTAACATAAACATACTCAAAAAAATTTTTCAGGACTAACATAAGCATATTCAAAATTTTTCGATCAAGATAAGCAAGGTTTCCAATTTTTTCACCGCAAACATAACAAAAGCTTTAAAATTGTTAAAATTGCGAACCATTTCATAAGTTTGACCTACTTCGACCATCTTTTATCCCGAACTTTTACCAAACTTTTCCGAGTTTTACTTTCAATTTTAAGCAAAAATCATTTCCATTTTGACCAACTTTGGGCAAATATCAGTTCCATTTTGACCAACTTTGACCGTTTGAATTATTAGTGTTACACCCCCCACACACCCCTATAGCGACGTCCCTGTGTAATACATTTGTGTATATAGTCTATATAATGTGGTAAATGCGCCTAGCAGTAAACAGACTTGATATGAAATCTGATAGCAAAAACTTGTGTTATATAATCAGGGACGCCGGAACGATGTGAAGGCAAAGGGGGCAGATTTTCGTGAAAGGGCATTTGTGAATTGATATATACTAAGAGATGTTTGCAAAACATCGGGAGTTGAACTTCGCCTAATCATGTCTTCTATTTATTGGATGATAGGGATGAGAGGGGGTTCTCCGCCAGGCGATTGTGCTATTCTTGAAGCTCGATGACTGCATTTCTTGCGTTTTCTGAAGCAAATTCGTAAAAGAATTGCACTAACATTTCTGACGATTCGCTATTTTGCCAAGGCAATCCTTTAAATTGAAAGGGCACCTTTGAACCCCTTGGCTCTCCTCGTAAAGGGCAACGGGGGCGGCTGCCCCTCCTGCCCCCAGTTCCGGCGTCCCAGTATATAATGTATTATAGGCTCAATTCAAGATGGCGGCCATAAACACGTATGTATGTGCCATGTTGATATAAATTAATTCAAAGTGACTATATGACCGGCAGCCGGTCACGGTTTATCAAATACTAAATGGCCGGCAGTCTAGTGACTATAGTTGAATATAAAAACTTTTGTTTGCGTTAACTTTTACCGAGCTTGCCGTTAGCTCATACGGCAAGGGCGCTGCGTGCGAAAAGTTAAACGCAGTCGGGTCGGGATGTGTTTTGTTTGACTTAGCATTGTTTTTTCTTAAAAATTTTTAAACTTTTTTTCCCGACTTTTCTAACTCTCAAAAGGTTAGGGTTAGGACTTAAGGGTTAGGGTTAGAAAAGGGTTTGGGGTTGGGGATAGGTTTATCTTATAAAAATTCAACTTTAACAATAGTCACTAGACTGCCGGCCATTTAGTATTTGATAAACCGTGACCGGCTGCCGGTCATATAGTCACTTCGAAATTAATTTTGCGCCTTTCAGTCAATGTTTTTGTTTATTTTTTTCGATATTTTATGTTTATAACATGAATCTTAATACTGAGAATGCACTTATAAAGACGTCTGAGCAAACTAGACGAGGTTGAGTCCGAAGTTCCGAACTAACAAATGTGGATACCGAACAAGAAGTTATAGCCGAAAACCCCGAAGAGAAAGATGTTTATGAGTTTTTCGTCAACAAATCCCGTTTTGATTGGTGGATAAAAGCGTTTATGATACGATATTGGATGGACTTTGGGAAACGCGAAGAGTATAGAGTAAATTGGGTGAGGAAAACAAGTCCAGATGATGAAAATTCAGATGATATTGTCGAAATTTGATTGGTGGATAAAAGCGTTTATGATACGGTATTGGATGGACTTTGGGAAACGCGAAGAGTATAGAGTAAATTGGGTGAGGAAAACAATTCCAGATGATGAAAATTCAGATGATATTGTCGAAATTATTATCGAAATTTTTAGTTTACACGATGATAGTAGTGAAGGTCATTTATTTTCAATAACTATTTCCGTACCAGAACAGAAACCACAGTAGCTTGTGGAAAAACACTGAGTTTTCACGCCCTTGTTAATGAGTTTAAAAATTATGACACTGGTTAGACACTGAGTTCTGAATACTACTGTACACCATTTTCCATGAAGACGGGATGAACAAGACAATTAGCCTACCTACTGACCTCAGTGAATTGTCGTGGGACCATTCATTACTATCTATTCACGAAATTGTGAAGGAGGATATCAAAGTTGTGCATCGACCAAAAAAGGCTGGTACAAAAGGGTCTGGTAAGGTACGTCGTCCTTCGATGAGAGCATGACTAACCACACCTGTAAGTTCAAGAAAAGTAAAAAGCCGTTGACCAAAATCGAAGTCTATGCAAAAACGTACAGAACAGAAACTTGCAGAAACTATTCAGGTCTGCATCATGCAGATATCCAATCTTGAGGAAGTTGTTGCTAGGGTTGATAAAAGTGATGTGGATTTAGAATATAAAGTTAATTCACTCAGCGATAGTCTTTTCTCAAGGTTAGATGATGCATTAGCTAATCGACTGAAGCATGAAATGTCAGTGCTCAGGAAAGCTAGCTTACGTTAGCAAAATAATGGAATCCGAGGAGCGTGTCTGCGTGTGGAGAAGGCTGAAGCAGAAGTTAAAAAATTTCAGGGTCGGCTTGGTTCTTTAAATGAAGAAAAGAACAGTTTATCAAAAAAAGTTAGATATTTAGAGGAGACAAGTAAACTGTTGCAGGATCATGTTGATTCCTTACAACACAAGGTGAATCAGGTTCCAACTGTTCCATCTGTTCAAATAGTCAATGTCACGAAAGATCAAGATACAGTGGAGGATACTAGGGAAAAAATGGAACAACAAAATATAGTAGATGAAGTTGCATCAGAATCAGATGAAGTTGCATCAGAGTCAGATGAAGAATCTATAGTCATATTGTTGTGAATGAAGTAGTGAATATAGATCACGTAGTCCCTCCACAACAGGTATATAATAAGGGAACAACTTCCACAAACCAAAATGATCAAGACAGAGAAGTAACCAGCGAACAGTTCGATTTCGTTTTTCTCTGTGATTCAAATAGAAAGTTTGTTAATTATTATTATCATTATTAGAAAATTTGCACAAATATAATAGCAATTAAAAGCTAAATTGTTATGTACATTACAAGAAATAAGATTATGTTAAGAGTATAAAACGTATAATAGGAGTATAAAATAGATCTATAAAGGTATAAAGCTAAAACTACCCAAACAATGTTTCATTGTACTTGCTAACAGCATAGCTGATTGGGCTACTCTTAAAACGTTCGGTTTTACCCATAAAATTATAGTACATTTCATTGTTCAGCCTCGTTGTCGTCTTCCTGACTTCACAGATTTTCTTGGGTAATAAACTATGTAATTTATGGTTAGGCTTCGACATTTCTTTGATTAATTCAATGCACATTCGATTGCGTCGTTTCTCCAAACTTTCTATTTTTGCTATACGTAAAACTTTATCGTAATCATCTTCCTTATAAATTATTTTCAGCGCTCGTTTTTGGATTCGTTCGATTTCATTACTTTGGTCCTTCGTAATTCCGCCATTCCAAACCTGAGCCCCATATTCGAGCGTTGGTCTAATTACTGCGACGTAAAATCTTTTCATATCATCCGTACTTGCACCATACGATTTTATTATTTTCAAAAGAAATAGACGCTTCGCAGCTTTTTTGATTATCTTCCCCGTGTTTGTATTCCACTTCAAATTGTCGTCGATCCAGAGCCCCAGTACCTTATACGAATTAACCCTTTCAATTATCTTGTTCTCTATTTCAGTTAATGGTATAGCCGTTTTGTTTCTTCTTAAATCAATCAACATTTCCTTGCATTTTTTAAGGTTAAGTTCCATTTTTTGTTGTTTCGTAAACTTCATAACTTCTGACATATTTCTTTCAGCATTACCAATGACATTGCCTGGTATATGGTTTTTTACATCTATAATTTCAGAGATTGTTGTGTCGTCCATGAATATTGTTACGTCATCATCATCACCTTCAGACACCTCATTATCAAAGGTTCTCTCACGTTTCGCCAGTGCTGAGGGCAAGCCATTTAGGGACTGGTCATAAAGTAACTGCTAGGGTGGGCTGGAGGTAAATCACAAATTTTTCCATTAAGTTTGGTGACCCACCTTAGGATGTAGATAAAAATTTCAAAGCCCATCTAATCTTACCAAATTTATTTCATGACCCACCCACCCAATCTAAATTGGGGAAATACACTTTATAATAAAAAAAAACTTGCAGGTATGAACATTGTAAATATACACCAGCACTGTATAGACATACATAATTGCACCAAGCTTGACCAACACATTCATCACAAATTACGATACTGAGCTGTTCTCCATTTGGTTGTATTTGCTGTGCGATCACTTCTTGTTGTTGTAAGTACTGGCTTCAATAGCATCATTTGCATTTGATAATTTGGATAGTTTTGTTTACTTTATATAATATATATTAATTAACATGGGTTTTTGTATGGTGGCTCAACCGTGGACATACAAAAAAATTGGCGGCCCATCGAAACTGCCCAAAGATTTTCCATTGCCCATCCCAAATCACTCCAGCCCACCCTAGCAGTTACTTTATGACCGGTCCCTTATATGCACAATAAATGCAACCGGGCCTAATCTGCTACCTTGAGGTACGCCCCCGTTAACTGCAACCCTATCAGATACCTCATTTCCAAATTTAGTTATCTGGGTTCTTCCACTCAGATATGAAGCAAGCCACGTGACCAGTACAGGGCGAATGCCAATCTTACAACAATTTTCCAGCAATATGTTGTGATCAATAAGATCATAGGCTTTGCGGAAATCTAAAAACAATATCCTGATTACAAATCCTGGAGTGTCTAAGACCATGTGCCATTTGTGAACCAGATAAATAAGCGCCAGAACCGCAGATGATCCTGATTGACCGCCGTATTGCGCGTCCATAATTTTACCATTAATATCCTCATTCAGCCAGGTAACTATAAATGACTCTTGAAGTTTCGATATAGCACTAGTAAGTGCAATAGTGACGTAGTTCGTCGACACTAGTGCAAGGTACACATTTGGGGATAGATGAGACCCAGAAATCTTTCCAGATGGCTGGAAAACGTTTCGACTTAAAGGATTCGTTAAAGATATCGGTTAGGGGTATTGCAAAATATTCCGCGAATATTTTTAGGATGTTAACATTCGGATCGTTTGGACCAGGTGCTTTGTTGGGTTTTAACTTTCTCAATTTATTCGCAACGGATTTCTTTGTAATTACGGGTAAAGTCTCCATTTCGCCATATGATAGCCACTTGTCCTCAACAACTGGAAAGTCCTTGGTCAAACTTGCGAAGAAACAGTTGATGTAATTTGCAGTATCTTTATCATTCATTTTGGATTGGGACTCAGGATTACTCAAGAAAATATTAGATGATTTATCTTTCCCCGTAAGTTTATTGATCTTCTTCCACCACTTTGAGTCGTTTTTATCATAATTTCCGGAATATGTTATCGTTGTGATACCTTTCTTTCGCCACGCGGATTTCATATTTCACCCGATTTCTAAGGAATCTAAAACGAGCAGTTTTACCTTGCTTATATGCACAATTTCTCGCACAAATCATCTTCAGTTTCGCTGTCATAAAAAATTTATCATTTTGGTGGAATTTAACAGTTTTGGTAGGGAAGAAATCGTTGATCATATTGCTGGTGGCTGTGAGGAATTCTTCTAATTTAGCATCAACAGAGCTTGCGGAAATAACATTTTGCCAATTATAAGAAGCCAAGAGTGGGTGAAAAGACTCCAGGGCAGAGGGTTTTATTGGCCTTACTGTCACTTTTTTTGTTATATTATTTTGAGGCTGCTGAACTTTAGACATCCAGATGACCATATTATGATCTGCAGAAGATAATGGGGCTGTAATTTCTGGAACTTCATAGAAGTGATTAACATTGGTGAAAATAAGATCCAGAATACTAGTGTTTCTTGTTGCTTCTTTAACTACTTGTTTAAGATTACAGTGAATCTTCAGAAATCTTGATTTAATACCATTACTAGTTGGGTTGAAATCACGTGCACCTGCAATAATAAAAGCTGTATCCCGACTTTCGGTAGTTAAAGTATCATAACAGGACTGAAAATAGTCGTAAAAAGCATCTAGGTAATACAAACCTATTATGCCCTAAAAGTACAGTGAAAGTGATTCCCTGTGCGAACAACAGATAAAGTGATAAATATCTTGTCATCACCACGTTTTAAAATTAACAAGACGCCTACTCAGACGTTCACACTGACCTGAAAATGACGACATACGAGCTACGGTGCAATAGACAAGAATACAAATCGTGAACCGCAAACGCAAAGTGTGAAAGGCTAAAAGCGTGCCGTGATCCTCAGGAGATGTTTTCGTAATGCCCAATAAACACACAAGTATTACTCACAAATACAAACGTTATCCACAAATGCACATGGTTTAGCTCTGAGCATGCGATGCGCTAACGCAGACAACATTGTTTACATTCCATGAGCGGCGAGTCCGTATATTAAACGTATAAAATTCGAAAAACTCTCGCTCCAGATATTTCATTTCCAGAGACGTTGCACGGAAAAAACCCAACCATGCAGTCAACTTCCGTGAACTTCCAAGGAAGTGCAGTCTGAAGGTAAAACGTCTTAAGTCGAATTTTAGACTCCTTCTATGGGCCGCGCTAAAAATATAAATATTATGTAAATACCGAAATAAAAGATGAAAATCTGAATTAAGACACAAGCTTGAAAATAACACTATAAATAGTGTTTTTGATTTTGATTCCATTAATACTATTACGAAAAAGATATGTCCAAAGGGGCCGAAGTTATGTTCGGCGAAATGTAAATTGTAGGGCTAGTTTACATTGTTCATTATATTATGAAATATGATACCATACCTTACTTGTCGTAAAATTCGCATCGAAGTTAAAAGTACTGTTATTGTTTGACGCAACAAATCTTCAGTATTAACACAATAAAATGTATGTTTCTTGTAGTTATCAGTAGCATGCAAGTAAATGTTTCCGCGTTTTGTATAGATCTATTGTCTGAGGGTAAAATTAAACGTTTTAAGTCGATCAGTAGCAAGTTTATTAGCGTTGAACCCATCACGGATGTCGCGCCATTGACTGTACATTATGGATGCGCGAATGACTATATGTGCATATGCATATGATACAAACATTGAGTATACAATTATACTCTGCGCATACAACATTTTGTAGTCAAACTGTCAAAATTTTAACTTGTCCAGTCCTTGTTTATATTCCATTCTATTGTATAAATTCGCGGGGTACAAATCCCGTACAATATTACAGAGAAACGGTGAAATGTTAAAAGCGTGGCGTGAGCCTCAGGAGATCTTTTCGTAATGCCAAATGAAACACAAGTATTACTCACAAATACAAACGTTATCCATAAATGCACATGGTCTCAGAGGGATATAGGGACTCAGGAGGTTTGGAACTAGTAATTGTGCGCGTGCGTACAAGTGTATGGGCTAATAAAGAAAGATGTACCACAAGCATGGCATGAGCCGGCTACTACGTACATAAATACGGACCTTGTTACTATGAAAACTAAATCAAGCAGTCGAGGAATCGAATGGCATTTGAATCGATGGCATTTTGGGTTAATCGTCGCACACTGAGCCTGCGATGCGCTAACGCAAACTCCATTTCTCGACGACGAAAACAGAAAACAGAAAACTAGGGATTTAAGACACTTGACCTTTCAGGTCAGTGTAATAAGGGACTGATACGTGATCGCGCTTAGCGTGCGCACTCACGCTGGGCGCTCTGCAAAACTCTTTGTTTTGTACCTTTATAACTCAAGATTGAAATCAAATTTAAATTGAAAATTGTGGATAAGAACATTGTGTGTGGTAATCTGAGGTTTGCAAACAGTTTTTGTAATTATATTAGTCGAAAAAGTAACAAATTTACGTGGATTTGGTCTTTTCAATTGTCATTAAAAGAGTTTTCCGTTGACAATCGCCAGCGCGTGCGTGACTGTGTGCTGACGCTATTTAATGGATTACGATCAATTTGAACATGGTGTTCAACAATTACTGTAAAACTCCTGGCTGTTCGTTGTATTTTGGTATCGTGTGGATTTTAACTCTAACCGCAATCGTCTTGTTATCTGAAAAATCGAAGCCTGGAAGTGTATATTACGACGAAAAAAATACTTTTTCAAACATTTCTATCAGCTCGGAACTTGCATCAATATCTGATGGACTGTGTTTGCTTTGGACATCTACGCGCGACCGTGTTATTCGAAAATATAACTTTCCATTGAAGAATTACCATCGTTATGGACTGCAGTTTCATATCAAGAATAATTAATAAATTCGTGATACTCGCGCGTGCTGGTGCGCGCGCGAGGGAGCTCCGTAAAAATTGTTATTTATAGTAATTTGAATACAGAGCTGTGGAGCCAAACTTTTAAGACAGTTGTCTAAGGATATCGTGGACTAGATCCGTGTATTTTTGGAGGTTAAAATTCAATCCAAGGACTTTTAGAAGAGTTTCTTTGCTTCGCTTGACTGGTAAATTTAATTTGTGAAACATTTTACGCAAGCTGAACTTTCTTACGTTTGCTTACGCCACACATCGTCACCAATGGTCATCTAACGTCAGCGAATCTTCTTCAAATTATTACGTGTTGAATTAATTGCGTGCGCGTGAATTTAATTAATTTAAATTTAAACCCAAACATGGTTTCAAAGAATGTTTCAGACGGCAAGAGATATTTGGCGAAGATTGGACGAGACATAATTCACATTCTACTTCTTTTTTCCATTTTGCGGCTGTCATTGAAAACGAAAAGAGCACTTTATACTGGTCAAATCACATCAGGAAACATTTTTATCAGCTCAGAACTTATTACCCTACCTGAAAGACTATGCTATGTCTGGGTATCTACCCGTGATGTTGTTCTTAGAAAGTACAATTTGCCTTGCAATAGTCGGCATCGCTACGGTTTGAATTTACAAGCAAACCGCAAGATTTCACATGCGGCTATTCTTCTTTTGCTTGCTGGTGATATTGCAACTAATCCTGGACCAACCTTCAAGACGGTTAATCAATCGCAAGAAAAGAGTTTTAAAAAAACCCCACTGAAATGTCTTCTTCTTAACGCTCGAAGTTTGAAAAGCCAGCACAAGCAAGGTATGAAAGTAACAAATAACATTAATAATTTTCAAGATTTAGTTTACTCGGAGAACAGTGAGATCGTATGTGTTAATGAAACGTGGTTGAACAAGGATATATTAAACTGCGAGATTCTTGGTCCAGATTATGAAATATTTCGTAAAGACAGAGAAAGCAGAGGGGGTGGAGTGTTAATGGCCATTAAAAGTGAATCGTTTAAACACGTGCGTGAGATTGAAATAAATTGCAACATTGAAATTGTTACAGTGGACGTTACTACGCAATCGAAGTCGCATTTATTAATATGTTCATGTTACAGACCTCCAAATTCAAATGATAACTGGCTGAAAGATTTTAAATATTTTCTAAGCGTGATTTGTGATCAGTATGATGACGTCATCATTGCGGGTGATTTCAATTTACCTGATATTAATTGGCAGAACTCTGGTGACGAGGCAACTAAAGCAATCACAAGTGAATTTTCTGAAATTCTTAAAGACTTTTTTCTTTCACAAATAAATACGCATACCACAAGAGGAAATAACATTCTTGATCTATTAATCACAAGCATACCCGACCAAGTTAAAATATGCGAAGTCCTTTCACCAGAAATGACTGGAGTAGTCACTGATCATAATGCCATTTCGTTTGAGGTATTAATTTGTCCTTTCCGGCCACCAAAAACAACCAGAATGGTCTACGATTATCAACTTGCAGATATTAACGGTCTTCGTGCAGCTCTGGAGTCTTTAAATTTGAGTAACTTGATATCGGACAACGACGACATAAACAAAGATTGGTATTCATGGAAACACGCGTTTCTAACTACCGTTAAGAAATACATCCCAACTAAGAAAGTTAAAGCAGCAGAAACATTCCCTGGCTAAACAGCGAAATCTTGCATTTATTAAAGAAAAAAGAAACTGTCAGACGCCAACTTTCTCATTCTCCCACTGATTATTTGCATGGAAAATTTAAAAAACTTAGAACTAAAGTTAAAAATCTCTTGAAAGAGAGTCGTGAGAGATACTTCTCCAACCTCGGCCAGAGTTTGTATCCAAACCCGAAAAGCTTTTGGAATCTGTTTAAAGTAAAATCCAAAACCAGTACTATCCCACAATCTGTATCGTGGACAATAGGGAACGACACAAAAGTCGCTAACAACCCGGCGACTATCGCTAATATGTTCAATAACTACTTCTCCTCAGTATTCACTCCACAAGAAGATCTTCAATCTAATAACGCTACTACGACAGATATAAATGACACTATTTCTTCTGGTTCACCTATGCAGTCAATAGATCAATTATCAGTGACGGAAAGTGATGTTCTGAGAACTCTAAAATCTCTCGACCCAGATAAAGCATTATAGGACCGGATGAAATCCCTGGTAGAATTCTGAAAGTAACAGCCAATCAAATTACTCCGTCGCTCACTCTCCTGTTTAACAAATCTCTCCAAGTTGGGGTAGTACCCGATGAGTGGAAGCTTGCAAATGTCGTTCCAGTATTTAAAAAAGGAGAAAAAGATCGCGTAGAAAACTACAGACCTATTTCTCTTTTATGTATAGTATCGAAATTGTTGGAACGATGCATATTAAACCATCTTAGATTCTATCTACAGAACACAATAAATCGCTGTCAGCATGGTTTTACTCCCGGGAAATCCTGCACTACTCAACTCATCCAAGTTATAGATACAATTGGTAAACTTCTTGATCAAGGAGAGCAGATAGATGTCGTTTATCTTGATATGTCCAAGGCATTCGATAAAGTGAATCACACGAAGATGATCGATAAACTCCGTAGTTTTGGATTCAACGGTGGCTTGCTTTCTTGGTTCCAGTCCTATCTTCGCCATCGTCGACAAAAAGTGACAGTGTTAGGATCAACATCTACGTCGACGCCCGTGACATCCGGAGTACCACAAGGATCTATCTTGGGTTTAATCCTGTTTCTGCTTTACGTCAATGATCTACCCGATGCGATATCCTTGTCTACAATTGCAACCTTCGCAGACGATACCAAATTGTTCCAATACATATCGTGTGAAGCAGACAGCTCTCTCCTACAAGAAGATCTGACTAATATAAACAACTGGTCATCGTCTTCTGATCTTATGTTTCATCAGTCTAACATAATCACAATATCGCGTAAACGAAAGCCCATTATGGCCTCATACTCCATGGGAAATACGCAGCTCGACCATTGTTTCCAAGAACGTGACCTTGGAGTATGGATCTCGTCTGATCTATCGTGGAAGAAGCAGATAGAATCGCAGAGTACAAAAGTAAACCAGATCTTGGGGTACGTGAAAAGGACAACAAAAAATTTAAAGTCTCTCACAACAAGACGAACAATTTATTTAACAATTGTACGTGCTCATCTTGGTTACGCGACGCAAGTCTGGGCGCCTCAAACTGTAGAGCAAATAAGAAAGATTGAACGGGTTCAGCGACGTGCAACTAAATATATTCTCCATCTGCCATTTAACTCAGACGTCTCATACAAAGACAGACTAATTCAATGTAACTTAATTCCATTAACTTACTGGCACGAGTACTTAGGCTATATATATATATATATACAATAATAAATCGTTGTCCGTTGTACAAAAAGAGTGCTCAATAACAAATTTAATTGATAGAGCAAAATATACTAATTATAATCTTAAAATTTTATTAATCGCTACACAGTGTTTCACGCTTTCAAAGCGATCTTCAGGCGATACTA